TAATTAATGAAGACAATAAAAATACTTACTATAATGATAAATAAAAATGATAAAATAAATCATGAATGACTAATGATTATAAAATGATTATGTGAATAAATGATTATAAACAAGAAAAACAAAAATAAATACACGACACACAATTTACACATGAGGATCTAAGGGTCCTTCACTCCCCCTCTTAATCATGACAAAATCAAATGATTATTGCAAGCAAACTTTCATAATCTTTATCAAAACACATCTTTAAAAAAGTTTAGATGGCCAGTCCATTCTTTTCCCTTCTACATGTTCTGAAAAGAACCGGTCTGCAGCACTGCGTGATAGTCCTGTGAGACAAAACAACACGCTTACGGCACGATACAAGATCATGAAGATACCTGAGCTCATGAATCAGACCAGATATTATACTGAGCTTCAGTCAGCAAATCAAAGTCCTCTGTATAAGCCCAGTCAGAAACAAAGTCAATAGACAAATAAATAAAATGTAAATAATTTAAAAAATACAAATTAATAATCAATTCAATAAATCAGCTGAAGCAACACAGTTTGTGAACATTGTCACAGCTTTATTTGAATCGTAAACGAAGGTTAACATAGGTTTGTGTTGAGGAGCATGCTGTTTGTTGCAGGTGATGAACGACGATTTCCTTTTGTTTCTCCATCTACAACTTTATTCAAAACTGACAAAGTTGTGGGAGTTTTAGAATTTAGTGACGTGTGTGAATAAAATAACACAAACCATGCAGAGTAAAAGTTTTTTTTTGCAGCTGGAAACAATCGAAATGCTTTGGATGAATGTTTTTTTATTTTTATTTCAATTACTGTCACAGACTTACTGTTTCTCTCTAAAACTCAGCGTAGTACTTTCACAAATAAACCCCTGAACATCACTGAGCATCAATCAAGTGCGTTTAGCAGGTTTAGTTCCACAGACAGAGCTGAATATATACTCCTAAACTGTCATAAAAACAAGGTTTTGTATATTTGACACCAGCGTGTGCTGCTTAGAAATACTACATCCATGCACACAGAACAGAGGTGAAGGACAGATTTTCATATTCATATATTTAGGTTTCCTTTCATATACAAATCTTCTTTGAACAAAACATGGACGTACACATCGTGATTGAATGGTTGAAAACCCATGAACGTCATAAAGCACTCATGTTTAAAGTACAAGGTACCAAATGTAACGCAAATACTGGAACTCAAATCCACTAGCACAAATAATAATCATAAGCAAAGTCAAGTGAAACGTGCAAATATCTGAAATTTCAGATCAAACGAAAAGGAATGAAGTAAAACTGTACAAAACAGAAATGACTAATTAATTACTAAAACCTCGAAAATAATCAGTAACTGAACTAAAAAATCTGAGCATTTTAACAGTTGACAAGAGTTGCCAAGTAAGACGAACTAACTGGATTCTTTTAGAGGTGAAGCTGTTGATTTCACATGCATATTTGTGTTGATTTTGTAGGTACTGATCCCGCCTCATGCTCAGGGGTTTACAACATTA